CCGTGCTTGGAGTGGGAAGGAAGAGTGAACCAGACACCGGAAGGTTCGAGCTATTTTGTTGATCAAAATACAGTAGTTTCCATAAATTATGACTTCAAAAGTCATTTTACCAGGGTGATATCAATATTAGTTTTACAACGACGCCATTAACTGAATGTTACAAAATTGCGCCGTGACAGGGTGATGGAAGAAAGAGGCAGATGGAACTCCTTGCTTCCGCATGCACAAGCCACTGTGGGATTCGAAGCTTGAATAAGTCAAGGATGTTGCAGATAGTGCGGATGGACCGAAACCGCATCAAGCGCCTGCCCCAGTAGCTCAAAGGAAAAGCATGAGAAATACAGAGGTACAGGATGTTACCGATATAACTAAACTGAGATGCTCAGTTATCATTCCACTAATTTGCGACAGATGATAATATCGAGAGTATACAACTGAAGTTTGATGCTTATAATTTCTTTAGATCCTACCACTTATCTCAACAGTCATCTTTAACGTATCGAACTTTTTTAGCACAACAAAGTGGTGGACGCTTACAACCCCTACTACAATTACTTCGATGAACGTTATGTAATTTTTCCATTGAATTATTTATAGAAGATTTCCAGCATCATGCATAATTTTGTTGAAAATTGAGCAGCGGAATTGGGGGAAGTATTAGAAAATGTGGCTGTACAGTAATTCCTGAAACTCTTTCTATTGCCATATCTTGATTTATTTAACTATCATTAATCTGTTCAAAGTATCACTGTTATCGGTGCTGTTATTGCAGAAGCTTCGTGTACCAAAAGGGCGCCAAAAGAAAAGTAATCTTTTCGTTTTTTGAAATGCTTCTGTGAATGAAAGTTTTTATGACATGTATAGCGTGTTTCTACATCTACTACTATTCATTTTACATCGGGTATTCAAAACTATTAATAATTTTGTCTTTTTCACTGAAAGGCTTTAATTACAGAACGACCTGCACCGACACCACCTGTGCCGCCACCAGTGGAGCCGAAGAAGGTCAGATTTTGCTGCTTTCCAGCTTGGCGCATAAATTGTGGCATTGCTGTTTTCAGAAATACAGCGCGTGGTACTCCTGCATCACGCATAAATTCTATCGAAAAAAATCCAGTCTTTGTGCAAAAAAAGATCAAGCTCTGCAACTGATCTGGCACGGAGCAAAGCAGATCTAAAGGAGATATAAGGAATTCAAGAAGGACATGAGAAAGAAGCATTTCGCGACTAGAAAAAATCCTCGAAATATTTAAAAACGCCACTTCTCCTGGACAGATTTTGTACCTTATCTTGCTACTTATTCGCCATGGCTTATTGTTTTTCGCAGAATATATTTTTTATCCTATAATTTGGATGTCAAAAGTTACCTACCTTCAATTACTGTATTTAATTTTTTCAGGAACCAGAAAGGTGTGGTTTGTTTTTTCTACAGTTTATTATATTTCCTGTGTTTCAAAAAGATAATATTTTCCTTTATTAATGCAGAATACCAGTGCTGAATTACCTCCTTTCGGACTACATCGGTAAGTCGATGAAGTTTGCAAATTCTTCGCTTTCCTGCGTTCATTAAGCTTAAAAGACGAGGAGAATGGGCTGATGCACTCCGTGCGATGGACTATCAAAAATGTCCAAAATAAGTAATTTAAATACCGCTATTGCGCAGTGCGTGCAGCCCTCTATTCTTTCTACTCTGTTGCAATGAAGTCTTAAGTTTAGTTTAAGTGGCAAAAACCGGCAACTGATCTCAGCAGGAGTTTCTGCAAACGTTCTTTACAAGGGAAGACCTGTTATCGCTGCAATGTCGAAATGTTAAACGAACAACAGCGTCCCTTACGCCCTTCACTCAGCTTTTTTCGAAGAATTACGAAAAAATAATGCTAATTCAATTTTTGTTACAGGAAGAAAAATGTGGAGGACTCATCGAAAAAAAGAAAATCGGTTGAGTCATCGAAAAAAACAAAAGAACCTCAAAAACCAGCCAAAGAAGAAATAAAAAAAAAAGAAGTGAAAGAAGAACGCGTTCGACCCGAGCCGGTTAAAGAAGATCAAGATAAATACGGACTTGCTCACGATGTGGGCAAAAACGAACAAGACGAGGACGATGAAGACGTAAACAAGGAAGAAGCAAACCGCGATGCTGAAGAACAAAACGAGAAGGAGCATGGCGCCCAAGGTATTTCTTTTAAAAAAGTCAAATGCAGTTTTGGAATCTTGTTGGTTCGACGCCGTCCCAACGCTCAACTTCGCTAGCCTGGGAATGGCGCTGTGTCACCAAGGTCAGTGACAGGAATGACATTTCTAGGAAACGCTGGATGAGCGTGCAGTCCAGCTGCACGGCAAGAGGAAAAAAAAGTTAATATATGAATTTCAGAGGAAGAAGACAAGAAGGAGGTGCAATCGAGTAGCAAGTCGAGCAGCAAGGATGCGAAAACAGCTCATTCTAGCAGTGAATCCGAGAATAAAAAAGCGAGTATCAGTGACGTGCGCACAAAGGATGTTAAGAAAGCAGTGGCAGACAGTAAAGCAACGGCGCAGACGTCAGCTTCTGACTCGACGGATAACACTAAAACGGCACGCGGGTTGACTCCTGGCGCAGCTGCAAAAATTGAGCAGCAAGTCATCGCCGGCAGTAACTATGAAGGCGATCGTGATAAAGGACTTGCTGGAAGCAACCAAAAGAGTCCGAAGGGAACAGAGCAGAAAGGTTATGATGGTTTTGATGTAAAAGGCGGTGTAGCTGGTGAATCGGGTAGCACCGGAGAAGCTGGAACGAATGAAAGAAGCAACTACTTGAATATGGAAGCAGGACAGGGTGGTTATGGAGGTTCCGGTACACAAAAAGGTGTAGCTGGTGAATCGGGTAGTACAGAAGGCGCTGGAGCAAATGAAAAAAATAAATACTTCAATGTGGGAGTAGGACAGGGAGGTTATAAAAGTTCCGATGCACAAAAAGGTATGGCTGGTGAATCGGGCAGTACTGAAGATACTCGAGCAAATGAAAGAAACAAACATCCCAATGTGGGAGAAGGACAAGGGGGTCATGAAAGCTCAAGCGCAAAAGAAGGTGCAGCTGGTGGGCCAGGAGGCAGTGGAGCAGCAAATGAAAGAAATAGTTACTTTGTAGTTGGGAGTGGGCAAGGAGGTTATGCTGGTTCTAGCACAAAAGGTGGTGCACTTGATGGATCAGATAATAGAGTTAGACAAAATGAAAAAAATGCACACTTCATGGGAGGAGAAGGGCAAGGAGGTTATGGTGGTTCCGGTGCAAGGGGTGGTGCAGTTGAAGGGTCGTCCGGTGCAGGAAGTGCTGGAGCAAATGAAAGAAGCAGTTACTTCATGGTTGGGGGTGGGCAAGGAGGTTACAGTTCTAGCGTAAAAGATGATGCAGCTGGTGGGACCAGTGGCGCAGGAGGTGCTGAAACAAACCAGAAAAACAATTACTTCGTAGCTGGAGCGGGAAAACGTAGTTATGACAGTCCTAGTACAAAAGGCGGTAGAAGTGATGGGTGGAGTGGCACCAAAGGAACTGGAGCAAACGAAAGAAATAGTTATTTCACAGCTGGTGGTGGACAAGGAGGTTATGGGGGTTCTGGCAAAAAAGACAGTGCAGCTGATAGATCAGGTGGTACTGGAGGCGTTAGTCAAAACGAGAAAAATAGCTACTTCATGATGGGAGCAGGACAAGGAAGCTATGATGGTTCCGGTGCAAAAAGTGGTAAAGCTGGTGGGTCATCTGGTGCAGGGAACGTTGGAGCGAACGAGAGAAGTAGTTACTTCATGGTCGGAGCAGGGGGACAAGGAGGTTATGGTGGTTCTGGTGGGAAGAGCGGTGAAGCTGGTGGGTCATCCGGCACAGGAAACGCTGGAACGAACGAGAGGAGTAGTTACTTAATGATGGGAGCAGGACAAGGAGGATATGATAGTTCCGGTGCAAAGAGCAGCAAAGTTGGTGGGTCACCTGGTGCAGGGAACACTGGAGCGAATGAGAGAAGTAGTTATTTCATGGTGGGAGCAGGGGGGCAAGGAGGTTATGGTGGTTCTGGTGGGAAGAGCGGTGAAGCTCGTGGGTCATACGGCACAGGAAACGCTGGAGCGAACGAGAGGAGTAGTTACTTAATGATGGGAGCAGGACAAGGAGGATATGATAGTTCCGGTGCAAAGAGCAGCAAAGTTGGTGGGTCACCTGGTGCAGGGAACACTGGAGCGAATGAGAGAAGTAGTTATTTCATGGTGGGAGCAGGGGGGCAAGGAGGTTATGGTGGTTCTGGTGGGAAGAGCGGTGAAGCTGGTGGGTCATACGGCACAGGAAACGCTGGAACGAACGAGAGAAGTAGCTACTTCATGATTGGAGCAGGCCAAGGAGGTTATGGTGGTTCTGGTGCAAAGGGGGGTGCAGCTAGTGGATCATCTGGTGCGGGAAACGCTGGAACGAACGAGAGAAGTAGTTACTTCATGATTGGAGCAGGACAAGGAGGTTATGGTGGTTCTGGTGCAAAGAGCGGTGCAGCTGGTGGATCACCTGGTGCGAGAAACGCTGGGACGAACGAGAGAAGTAGTTACTTCATGACTGGAGCAGGACAAGGCGGTTATGGTGGCTCTGGTGCAAAGAGCGGTGTAGCTGGTGGATCACCTGGTGCGAGAAACGCTGGGGCGAACGAGAGAAGTAGTTACTTCATGTTGGGAGCTGGACAAGGAGGTTATGATGGTTATGGTGCAAAGAGTGGTGCAGCTGGTGGATCATCTGGTGCGGGAAACGCTGGAACAAACGAAAGAAGTAGTTACTTCATGTTGGGAGCTGGACAAGGGGGTTATGATGGTTCTGGTGCAAAGAGCGGTGCAGCTGGTGGATCATCTGGTGCGAGAAACGCTGGAACAAACGAAAGAAGTAGTTACTTCATG